AGGCTCAAACTTGAGATCCTCCTGCCTCAGCTTTCTGAAATAATGATGTGTGTTACCACATATGACAGTTGAACACTATTTTATGTGACTAGCTGCTGTGATAATTTATTTCTAAGTTTTCCTGTGCATGTTTCTTTTTTTTTTTTTTTTCCTATGGTAAATACCTAAAATTCAGACAAATTTTTCAAAAATTGCTAAAGGCAAAGTTTGAGGTGAATTTAGAAAATGGAATGTCTAGAAACCTTAGACACAGGGAGAGTTCATACCTAGTCACAGGGTCTCCTCAGTGGACCTCAGTCAGGAACTCTCCAGTAAGATTTCATTATGCTTAAGTATACCAATACATCGTGTTTTATACCGTAAATATAAATAGTTTTTTAAGACAGTATTTATTTATTAATTTATTTATTTATTGTCTTTTTGAGACAGGGTCTCACTATGTAGTTCAGGCTGGCCTTCAGCTCACTTTGTAGCCCAGGCTGGTCTCGAACTTGCAAGGATCCTCCTGCCTCAGCCTCCCAAGTGCTGGGATTACAGGGGTGCGCCACCACACCCAGCTAACAATTTTTTTTTAAAGATTGAGAAAATATCAGGAGACAAAGCTGTGCTCAGGGGTAGACCCTAGAGGAGGGAAGCATAAACCACATTGGGGAAAACAATAAGCTCTTTTCAGATCCTTTCCACTAAATAATAAAAAAACCTCAAGCCATTGGGGAAGGAGAGCAAACCTTGACACCTCAGTGGAAAATGAAGTCTTGAGGTTGAAAGACTGAGAAGAAAAACTCTCCATCCTTGGGGAGAGACAGGAAAATGTTAGAAGCTGAGCATCAAAATCTACATCCCAAGGAGAGGCAGGGCCACTGAAAAAACCTCAGTCACCAGAACCAGTGACGCAGTGTCCCTGTAGGAAATCAAGGCTGTCTCAGGACAGCAAAGAACCCACTGTAGCCACTCGCTACCAGACAAGCATATGACAGTAGGCACACAGGAAAAAAGACATATTACATAGAGATGGATGATGGAGTTTAGGACATGTCACCCCAAAATAATGCTCCTTTGGCACAAGGATTATTTTGAACTGATTATTCTGAGAAACTACGGACATAGGAGATGCTCTGCAAAGTGAACATTTATAAGAAATTCCAATTTATGAAGAGAATATCCATTTATAGGGGTTTTTCTCTCTGTACCTCTATAGAGAGGGATGACTAAATTTTTATATAGACTTTTATCAGTGGAGAAAGCACCTACTTAATTTGCATTAAAATCCTTACCCTTGTGCTTTTCCTGATCGTGTGTGTGTGTGTGTGTGTGTGTGTGTGTGTGTGTGTGTGTATGTTGGGAATTGAACTCAGGTCCTTGTACATGTTAAGTCTGTGCTCTGCCTCTAAGCTATACCTTTGGCCCTGGCCACCTGTTATTAATTTAGTGTCCCTATACACCCTTCTTTCTTTGTTTCAGAACTGGTATTTTCTGAAATCTAAGACCATTCTTTAAAAATTCTTCTAGAGATTTGCTCATGTCTGGGTTATCACCAATGTTTACAGAGGTGTACCTGCTATTAAATTTTTGTTTTTCTTTTGTTGCACCCAATAACTCATGAAGGGTGGAGGATAAAATTTTTTGTCTTCTCTAGGGAATGCGCAATAGCAGGGTTCTCAGAAACGATGAAAATCAATTTATTGCTCTTCCAGGTTTCTCTCCTGTGCAGTCGTCCTTCTATCTGAAAAATGTTCTTCTTTTTATTTTTTAGAACCAGTCTGTGGGCAAAGAATTCTAGAATATCGTATTTTGGCACTAGAGGTATTTAAATCCTAAGAAGGGTGTTGCTTTTTCTGTTTTGCTTAGCAGACAGTTGACCTAGTTAGGTTCAGGCTGCAAATTCTGACCTACCTTTTATGAGTTGTAGGTCCAATTTGGTTTTTAATCTTAATGCTTATTAGGAGAGTGATGTGATTGAATATATACATTATAACAACTTCATTGTGATATAATTCACCTATTTAAGGTACGCAACTTAGTGGCTTTTAGTAGATTCACAGAGGTGTGTAGCCATCACTTGTCAATTTTAGAGCATTTTCATCACCTCAAAGAAATCTAGTATTCATTAGCACTCAGTACTCATTTCCTACTGTCTCCCCTCCTGCCTCCCTTATGCAGTTATTAATCTATTTCCTGATTCTATAGACCTTCCTGTTCTGGACATGCCTGGTGTGTGTGTGTGTGTGTAGGTAGGTAGGGTTAGAAATTGAATCTAGTGCCTCATAGTAAGCAACATCCCTAACCCTTTTATTTTGAGGCAGGGTCTCACTAACTTGTCCAGGCTGGCCTTGAACTTGGCATCCTCTTTCTTCAGACTCCTAAGTAGCTGGGATTATGTATGTATGCCACTGTGCTCATCTATTTTTTTCCCCCCCTGCACTTCTAGGGACTGAACCCAGGGCCTTTGCACTGAGCTGCATCCCCAGGCCTTTTTTAAAAATTTGAGACAGGGTCTTTTTAAGTTGCTGAGTTGTCCAAGCTGGACTTAAACTTGTGATTCACCTGCCTCAACTCCCCACAGTGTTGGTATTATGGGTATGTACCACCATGCCTGGCTGCTGATTTGTATTTTTCAAAGATTACTCTGGCTAGTATAAAGAATGAAACCAAGGAGACCACCTAGGAAGCTGTGAAGGAATCTAAGCTTGATAGGATTGTGGGATAGTCTTGATTATGAATGGTGGTGACACAGAGTAGTTTATGGATTGACATGCAGTTTGGAAGGAGAACCCAAAGCATTACCTGATAGACTCTGCCTGAGAGTTTAGGAAGGAGGAAATCAAGGGTAACTCACTCCTAATTTTCAGTGTTACTAGAGTATGTTATGATTTAGGAGGAAGTATAAGTTCATATATATCAAGAATCAGGTTTTGGGCTAAGCTTAATTTGAAGTGCTTGTCAAGCATGGAGTCAAATATATCTGTTTAGATTTCTGTGGAAAGCAGAAGCTGGAAATAATCTTTTAGAGAGAATTAGCGCACAAATGACATTTAAGACTACAAAATTTGTAGAGATTGTTCTAAGGTGAGAGGGCAGAAAGGGAAAACTGTAATTTGTTGGCCAGTCTTGGGGTAGTCTAATATCTGTAGGGTACTCAGCAAAGAAAGCCAGAAAAGTAAGAGTAAAATCAAGAGAATGTAGTCCCATATGTAGTCTCATAGCAAGCAAGTATAGCAGTACAGTCATGCATTTCTTATTCAGAAGAAACAAGAAATGGATCATTTGGTGATTTCATTGGCGTCACTGGATGATGTAATCTTACGGAACCACCTTCAGATGTACAGTCAGTCCTTGACCTCATGTTGTTATGCTGCGCTTGAGTGTATTTTGGGGGTGCTGAAGTTGCTTAAAGGACAAGTAAGATCAGTACAGAAAGTTGACTAGCATGACTGGCAGTGTGAAAATTACTGTGATTATATACCAAGTAGTTTCAGTAAATTAATTAGTCTGAAAATCTAATCAGAGCAGGTTAAAGAAAATGAAATGTTAGGAGAGACCACCTAGTAACAAAAGTGGAAGAATGGTACAGTAGCAGTAAGGGGATATGCAGTGAAGTAAGAATTTTTTAGGGTAGAAGGTAATGTTTATATAATAGTAAAAAGAAGTGATCCAGCAGGGAGGGAAAATTAAAGATCTAGTGGGAGAATTATTTTGCTTCTCCTTTAATTCTCTTGGAATTTACCTTTTCTGGCCGTTCCCGAAAGGCTGTGTTCCTGCTGCTCAGTTCTGCCTGCTGAGCCTGGTACCTGTAGTTCCAGCTACTTTGGAGGTGGAGGCACGAAGATCATGAGTCCAGTCTGGGCAATTTTGTAAGATCTTTTCACAAAATGAAAAAGTTTTGTCAAACAAAGGTGTTTTGACATGGTATGTAGGTTTGTGTAGCTGACCACAGATCTTCACTTTTCAATAGAAATGTAATATGAACCAAAGTTATAATTTAAAATTTTCAGGTAACTACATTTAAAAAGTAGTAATAGGAAAATGTGTAGGAGAAGGAAAAACAGTTTCTCCTTCTGAGGTCTTTACGTAGTCTGGGATTCCTTGTAACAGAAGACAGAATTTTTTTTAAAGAGATAAAAGATAGTCAATAAAACTTGAGTTTTGAAACAGGTACTATAACCTGTGGAACAGTTCCAGTAGTTGATACATTGTATATTATTGTCTTCATAGTAGTTAATCAGAGTACAAGATCTAGGCATGGCATGTCTTGTCTAAACAATATTAGCACAAAACGTTCTTTTCACGAATCTAAGAGAAGCTAGTTGTAAAACTATCTTAACTATCTTGTGTATACATATATATTTTTTTCTTTTTCTCTTTCTTCCCTTCCCCTTCCCCATCACAGTTTGTCTTCTCTTTTGCACAGTTTTTTCCCAGTTCACAATATCTATTGTACATTTTGGATCATATTTTCTTGTTCAATTTCTGTCTCACTAGTGTGAGAAATTGAAGAAGACAGATTTTTGACATGAGAGAATCAAACACAAGGTTTTTTGTTGTTGTTTTTTTTTTTTTTTTTTTCCAGTACCAGGGATCGAACTCGCAACCTTGCGCTTGCCAGGCAGGTGCTGTGCCGCTGAGCTAAATCCCCAGCCCTCAAACAGAAGTTTTAAAAAACGTATATACCTCACATATTTATGGGAAATACCCAGGGAAAATTAAGCAAATTTCAGAGGTAGCGTAGAATTCAGGCTTAAATAACATCATTTGCTAAAACAAATAAATGTGAAAGGATGCTTGCTTATAGGGAGAATGGCTTGGAAAGCATGGCAAATAGTCAGGTTCATTAGGGAGATTTAAGTCCACATCATTTTCACCATTGAGTCTGCAGCAGTTTAATCCATCTTTTGTTATTGGTGTGGAGAGGGAGATAGCCTTACAAATGGAGATTTCCTTTATAAAAATAAATTTCTCTCACCAAAGGGTAACATCTATTGTCTTTCTCCTGTGTTTCCCAGATATCACAATAACCAGTGTAAAATAATCAAATGGAGACAGACACATGGGGAAGGAGATAGTCTGATCTCATATATAAGTAAAATTGACATCACCATTTCAGTATAATGTACCCTATATGGAATTACTAATGAAGCTTTTATCTTTTTTTTCCTACTATGTCTTTGAAATTTTCTTAGCTTTTTACACATAATGGTGCCACCTAAGCTGAACTAACCATATTTAAAGTGCTGAATGGCTGAGTAGGGCAGGTGGCTGTCTTTGAAATGCACATTTCTAAACATTTTCCCCCTTCTATTGAGATAGAATTATGGTTTTGACGTTCTACTTCAGATAAATCTTTGTGAATAATTAGTTCCATTGTTATTACTTGTATCCTTTAGTTTTTGTTTTTTTTGTTTGTTTGTTTGTTTTTTGTTTTTCTTCGGTACCGGGAACCGAACTCACGACCTTGCACTTGCCAGGCAGGCGCTTTTGCCGCTGAGCTAAATCCCCAGCCCCTACTTGTATCCTTTAGGAAAGGAAAAGTAATGTGTATCCAAACTCATTGCAAGGTTCATGGCTGTGACCCCTATAACAAAAGACAAAGTCACAAAAAGACTTATTCAGTATATTTTGTGGGTTTTCAGAAATGAACCCCCCGCAAAGAAAACCCAAGGAAATCTGCATGTTTTTATATCTAGAGGTGATGAAGAGTTGACACACAGTTGTGATTGGACAAAGGAGGTATGATCTAATGATAATGACTGGGAGAGAACTTACCAAAGCCTCTTTGTTTAGAGGTTTTTTGTTTTTATTTTTGTGTTTGTTTGTCTTTCTGAGACAGGATTTCACTGTGCAGTTCAGGCTGGCCTTGAACTCACCTTATAGCCCAGGCTGGCCTCAAACTTGCAGCAATCCTCCTGCCTCAGCCTCCTGAGTGTTGGAATTAGAGGCATGCACCACCACACTGGCTTGTTCAGAGTTCAGAGGGTATTGCTGTTGTTGTTGTTTTAGGGTTTTTTGGTGGGTATCTCTATGCCTTCCTCCAGGTAAAGCGAGAACCTGCCTGGAAAGAGGGTCTTGCTTCAGAAAAGAGTGGGAGAGGTCAGAGACAGACCTTCTTGCTTCTGCTGTTCCCTTAAATGCCTGGATGCCATAGTTTGGGGTAGAATTCTCAATTCTATCAGAAGACTTGAAGGAATTTAAACTTTTCATAGTATGATTTTGAATGTAATCATAGGAGCAGTTATTGATAGTGGATATATGAAACATTACCGTGGTTCTAAGAGTAAAAGAAATGTTATTCCTGTGGAATGCCATCTGCCACACTGCAATCTCTCAATTCTTTCTAAAAACGTTCCTCCTGACTCCTTGTAGGTAATCAATCCCTATTACATTTTTTAAATAACTGTAAAATACATGTAACATAATGTTGCCATGTAAGGCGCTCCTCCTTTTGTGTTGGGAATTGAACTCAGTGCCTCACAGAGGGTCTCACATGCAGTGCAGTGCTCTACCATGGAGCTATACCCTCAGCATCATACCAACTACTTTAAATGAATAGTTCAGTGGTATTAAATACATTTATAACATGAAGTCATCACCGCCTTCCATCTCCAGAACTTAAGTTATTTTATGAAACTGAATCTCTTACCCATTGCACACTAATTTCTCATTCCTGCCTTCCGCTAGCCCTGGAAAACCACCATTCTGTTTTTCTCTAATTCTCACTACTGTAAGTACCTCATATGAGTGGAAACCTACAGTGTCTGTTTTTTGTGATACTTTATTTCATTTAGTATAATGTCCTCCAGCTTCATTACGTTATGGTACATGTCAGAGTGAACTTCTTTGCTAGGGCTGCTTTATAGTCCATTGTTTATTCATTCATCCATCAGTGGATACTTGAATGTTTCCATTTTGTAGCTATTATGAAGAATGCTATTATGAACATGGTTGTGTAAAGACTTTGTTTTCAATTCCTTTGACTGTATACCCAGAAGTGGAGTTGCTGGATTATGTGGTAATTCTATTTCTGAATTTTTGAGGCACCACCATGTTATTTTCTATATAGCCACATCATTTTACATTCATCTCTACCAACTGTTCACAAAGGTTCCAATTTCTCCATATTTCTTATGACACCGCTTGTTTTCTGTTTTCTTAATGTTTATCCATTCTAGTGAGTCTGGTGTGATATCTTATTACAGGTTTTTTTTTTTTTAAGACAGGGTTTCGTTATATAGTTCAGGCTGGCCTAGAACTCATGGCAATCTTCCTGCCTTAGCTTCCCAAATGCTGGGATCACAGGCGTGTGCCAACAGCTGCAGTTGTGATTTATATGTTGCAAGTGATTAGTAATGTGAACACTTTTTCATGTGCTTATTGGCCATTTGTACATCTCTGGAAAAATATGTATTCAAAACTTTTGCCCATTTTTGAATATGGTACTTTTTAAAACTAAGTTTTAGGAGTTCTTTTTATATACTGGATGTTAATTCCTTATCAGAAATATGATTGCAAATATTTTCTGCCATTCTGTGGGTTGTCCTTTTAGTGTTCTGAGGGTGCCCAGCAGCATTCAACCGCTGGGCTACATCCCTAAGTCTTCTTTTTTTTTTTTTTTTTTTTTATTAAAGAGTGAAAGAAGGATAACATAGTAATAGGGGGCTTACCGAATTACAGACAAAGTTGTAGGAAATTATCAATGGTTGTTGTTTTACATATTGTTATCTACAACATAGTTTCTGAGGAAAACAGACAAATAATAGTGAGTTACAGACAAAAGTGGTAGGAGATTATCAGTGGTTGTTGTACTATACTTTGGTATCTTCAAAGTGGCTTCTAAAGAAAATAAATAGAGCTGTACATGAGTGACCTATTGAATAATCATTGACTATTCTCAATGGTTGTTGTAGGAAACACATAGTAATAAACATACAACCATTTACAAAATAGCAGAGGAACAATACAAACTACAGAGTTATGGACAGATTAGTTGGAAAATATCAATGGCTGCTGTAATACATGGTGGTATCTTCAAAGTGGTTTCTCAGGAAGACAGAGATACGCAAGAAAGATCTAACAAGTAGTTACAGCCTAAGGGTTGTGAAAAATAGTGGATTACCTCCTCATCAGTGACTCCTTTCACTGAGGTGTGACGGCTGGAAGGAAGGCCAGGGTATCCCTAAGTCTTACTATTTATTTTATTTTTATGAGACAGGTTCTTGTTAAGTTGGCAGACTGGCCTCAAAGTTGAGATTCCCTGCCTTAGCTTCTCTAGTAGCAGGAATTACAAATGTGCACCACCATGTCTGGTTCTGATAGTGTCTTTTTTGTTCTTGTTTTTGTTTGTTTTTGAGACAGGGTCTTGCTACGCAGTTCAGGCTGGCCTCAAACTCTCAGGGATCCTTCAGGCTCAACCTCCTGAGTGCTTGGATTACAGGTGTGCGCCACCACACCCAGCTGATAGTGTCTTTTGATGCACAAAATTTTAAAAATTTTCATGAAATCCAATTTATCTGTTTTTATTGCCTGTGCCTTTGTTGTTGTCATATCCAAAAAAATCATTGCCAAGTCCAGTTGTCATAAAGCTTTTGCCCTATGTCTACTTCTAAGAGTTTTATGATTTTGCTTTTTATAGTTAGTGGGTTTTTTTTTTTTTAATCCAATTTGAGTTTTTTGAAAAACAGTCTGTTAGATAAGCATCCAATTTTAGTCTTTTTCAGATACGTATGAGTTTGTCGAGCAACTTTTGTGGAAAACACTGTCCTTTCTCCATTGAATGGTCTTAGCACCCAAAAATCACTTGAGTGTATATGTGAGGGCTTATTTCAGGGCTCTGAATTCTGTTCAGTTGGTCTGTATGTCTGGCTTTATTCCACTGCTGCACTGATTACTTTAGCTTTGTAGTAAGTTTTTTTTTTTATTTTTAAAATTTTATTTTAAAAAGAACAAAAACACAGTAATGAAAACAAAGACAAACACAACAACACAAAAACAATAAAAACAATACAAAAGTTCAAAACAAGGTGATAGGAAATTAACAATGGTTGTTGTATTACCTGTTGTTATCTTTTTTTTTTTTTGGTTTTTCTCTGGTACCGGGAGCCGAACTCATGACCTTGCGCTTGCCAGGCAGGCACTTTGCCACTGAGCTAAATCCCCAGCCCCCTACCTGTTGTTATCTTTAAATTGGTTATTCAGATAACCAGATATGGGCATGTAAGATTGATCAAACAATTCAACATTAACTGTTCCTTTCAATAAAGC